GGATTATAGGTACTGTGGAATATAAGTACCAGAGAACATAGGTACTGTGGAATATAAGTACCAGAGAACATAGGTACATGGAACATGGGTACCAGGGATTATAGGTACTGTGGAATATAAGTACCAGAGAACATAGGTACTGTGGAATATAAGTACCAGAGAACATAGGTACATGGAACATGGGCACCAGGGAACATAGGTACTGTGGAATATAAGTAAAGGAGAACATAAGCACATGGAACATGGGTACCAGAGAACATAGGTACTGTGGAATATAAGTACCGGAGAACATAAGTACATGGAACATGGGTACCAGAGAACATAGGTACTGTGGAATATAAGTACCGGAGAACATAAGTACATGGAACATGGGTACCAGGGAACATAGGTACTGTGGAATATAAGTACCGAAGAACATAGGTACATGGAACATGGGTACCAACGATTGAAAGTACGGGGTTAACTAAGAATGACCCAGAGAACATTTTAATGTCACTCAGGAGTACATTTTGTTTGTTTTAATTTTAATGTTTCTGCTGCTTTGAGAACAGAGCAGCTCTGAATCTGCAGCCGGCTCTTATTTGCATCCTCAACAGTATTTTCCATTTTACAACAGAAGCAAAACAAATGTTGTCCTCTGAAGGACGGTCCTGTTGGAAGAATCTCTGAGTTAAATGGTCTGATGTGTTTTTATGTCTTTYAGAACCAGTTCTTCATCAGCTGTGCAGACAACAAACACGTCTTCAACAAGATCGGAGATGCCATCGCCTCGCGCATCATCCGGGCCCACAGGTGTTAAACTCATAACATCTGTAAACAAACTGTGTGTTCAGGATTATCTTACACTCAGTCCCTGAAACTGGGTGGATGATATTTGAACAGTTTGCTCTCATGGAAACAAAGCAGCACAAACCTGACCTGGTTTCTGCAGGAGAAACCATTCAGAGCAGTTTTTATGAATATTGGTTCCWGCTCTTCCATGAGGACTCTAAAGACCGGCTGAGAGACATAGTCCTGGGTCTTCCTCTGGGTCTCCCATCAGTTAAACACATCCAGAACTCATTCCAGAGAATCAAACTGATTAACACACATTTATAAAACAAATCTTTTACCAAYTTTTAAACATCAGTTATTCCACATTGGTTCACATCTGGTGTTCCACAAGGTTGAGTTCTCGGGCAGGATACAGTTTGTAAYTTACATCCTGGCTCCTGGGCCAACATTTGTGGGATTTAAATAAAAAACCTTTAACTTAGTTTACTTGAATATTGCCTGGTTTCTACAGATGGAGTTTTAGAAGCGTTGAAACTTTTTGTTCCGTCCTCTCCAGGGTCCATCTTTGTCATTTTGCCATTCCTCATTTACCTGAACCGTTTTTTGTCAGATGAGTTCRTGGCTGGAGTATTTGTTGAGGATGACTCCCAGCTACTATCACCTTGAATTTTAGCTCAATATGTGTAAAATTAGCCRTTATAGCGTTGTAATATGTTTCACATAATAAAACAAAATACCAGTCAGCAAAAGTCCTGTCAAAAACGAGACGTTTTGCCTTTGTTTCAGAGGACAAACATCTTTAAACCTTTTGTAGGACAGGAAATGAATCCTAGTTTTGTCTGAGATGAAGTGTTTTGCACACCACTCAGTAAAGCAGATCCTCTCTGTGTTTTGTTTTAGGGAAGGTAAAAAGTACCGTGTTTACGTGGTGACGCCTCTGTTGCCAGGCTTTGAAGGAGACATCAACACCGGCGGAGGCACCGCCATCCAGGCCGTCATGCACTTTAACTACAGGTGTGTTTGGACCCAGAGTGTCTCTGTTTGCATTCACATGTGAGGACCCTGAAGTCCACATATTCCTTTAGTAAACACGCCAACGCTCATTCTTCTGTCCCTCTCTGCAGAACCATGAACCGAGGAGAGTACTCCATCATCTCCCAGCTGAAGAGAGAAAGTAAGTCACAACTGAAGAGAACATCTCAGCTCCTCCTGGAAACAACAAATTCCAGCCTGTCTGGTTTGGATAAACAGAAACAAGCCTCCCTCAGCAGCAGAACTCTGTTTTACATGGCTGTGGAGGAATTTTGGCCCACTTGAGGTTTCTGCTCAGCTCTGCAGGGTTTTTATGTGATAGAAATCCTTTGCATTTCATTTTGTTCCTGAGCTTCAGATCAAATCAAAGCTGAAACTTTTACAGTTAAAACTTTTTAGCATAAAGATCAAGTTGCTCAGTTTGTATTATGTGCAAGTTTACACTTCAAATCTGGTAGAATTCAGTCCTTTTCCTGATTCTAATGTCTGGCTCTGGTTCCAGTGGGAGATCAGTGGATGAACTACATCTCCATCGCTGGTCTGAGGACTCACGCTGATCTGGAGGGAAAACTGGTGACCGAGCTCATCTACGTCCACAGCAAGATGCTCATTGCCGACGACAACACTGTCATTATTGGTAAACATGTCATTATTGGTAAAAACCATCATTATTGGTAAAAACCATCATTATTGGTAAAAACCATCATCAATGGTAAATGCCATCATCATTGGTAAATGCCATCATCAATGGTAAATGCCATCATTAATGGTAAATGCCATCATTAATGGTAAACGCAATTATTAATGGTAAACACCATCATTGGTAAACAACATCATTGGTGAACACCATCATTATTGGTGAACGCCATCATTATTGGTGAACGCAATCATTAATGTTAAACGCAATCATTAATGTTAAATGCCATCATTAATTGTAAAAGCCATCATAAATGCTAAAACACCATCATTAATGGTGAACGCCATCATCATTGGTAAACACCATCATTAATGGTAAACGCCAACCATCATTAATGGTAAACGCCATCAGTAATGGTGAACGCCATCATCATTGGTAAACACCATCATTAATGGTAAACACCATCATCATTGGTAAACACCATCATTAATGGTAAACGCCAACCATCATTAATGGTGAACGCCATCATCATTGGTAAACACCATCATTAATGGTAAACGCCAACCATCATTAATGGTAAACGCCATCAGTAATGGTGAACGCCATCATCATTGGTAAACACCATCATTAATGGTAAACGCCAACCATCATTAATGGTAAACGCCATCATCATTGGTAAACACCATCATTAATGGTAAACACCATCATTAATGGTAAATGCCATCATTAATGGTGAACGCCATCAGTAATGGTAAACACCATCATTAGTGGTAAACGCCATCATTAATGGTAAACGCCATCATCATTGGTGAACGCCATCATCATTGGTGAACGCCATCATCATTGGTGAACGCCATCATTATTGGTAAACTCTATCATTACTTGTAAACGTGTCATTATTGGTAAACTCCGCCCTCAAACAGGAAGTATAGATGAAGAATGTTATTTGTCCATAAAGTTTATAAGTTGCAGTCAGAGTTTCTGCTGCCTCACTTCAGCCACATGTAAAACCTGGACATAATGAAGCTCTTTTTGGTCCCATGTGAGGAGCAGTGGCGCCCCCTGCTGGTGGTTTCTGTCCTCTGACGTATGTCATGTCCTCTGCACACCTGCAGGCTCGGCCAACATCAACGACCGCAGCATGCTGGGGAAGAGGGACAGTGAGGTGGCTGTGATCGTAGAGGACTGTGAGACGGTGGACTCGAGGATGGACGGGCAGCCATACCAGGCGGGAAAATACGCCCTGCGGCTCCGCCTCGAGTGCTTCAAGTACGGAAACAAAAAACAGATTTTTTTTAAAAACAGATTTGAACTAAAAGGATCCAGAAAGTTTGTCTCTTCTCTACATCAGTGTTTTTGTGTTTTTCCCACGCTCTCTCATGTGTTGGGTGTTTTTTCTCTCAGGATGATCCTCGGAGCGTACGCAGACCCGTCCATCAACATCTATGATCCGATCAGTGAATATTTCTACAAGGAGGTGTGGATGGTGACCTGCGCTCGGAACGCCTCCATCTACCAGAAGGTGAATCTGACCTCAAAGTTCAGCTGAACTCAGAGTTAAAATCTCTGAACTTCAGACAAATTTATTTATTTTATTATTTTAATTATTTTTATAACAATCTGCACCAGTTTTCACACGGAGAGTTCAGCCGTCAGGTTTCTAAAGGAAACAGAAGCTGCTGAAAGGAGTCTGAGACCAGATCTTGGTTTTCTCTCCAGGTTTTCCGGTGTCTGCCGTCCAGCGACGTGCGGAACCTGTCGGAGCTGGAGGTCTACCTGTCCAAACCTGCGCTGAACCGAGATGACCCGGCMCGGGCCCACGAGGAGCTGAAGAAGATCCGAGGCTTCCTGGTCCAGTTCCCTCTTCAGTTCCTTAGCGAGGAGAACCTTCTTCCTCCCCTCGGCTCCAAGGAGGCCATGGTCCCCATGGAGGTCTGGACCTGAGGAGTCCAGGCTGGACTTGTCGCAGACACTGATGCCATGTTGGAGATCCAAACCAGGACCAGTACTTTTTGTTTGTCCTGTTTTCTGAAGCGACTTGTGGTTGAACGGGTTATTTTGCCCTAAGCTGAGACTTGAAGGTGTTTTTAAATCTCTGGCTGTGATCAGATGACGGCAGGAGGTCGGAGAGGTTTGTTCATATCAACTGGACCTGACTGAAGATCTGAACCTGCCTGAGATCCGGTCTGGGTCAGGAAGACTAGAACCAGAAACACGTCAGGATTAAAATCCTGTTGATCCTAAAGACAGTGAAATAAGCTCTGAACTCGCTGAAGGAGGTTCTGATTTGTGCCAAAGAGTCTAGAAGTGACTTCAGCTCATCTTCCAGCTTTAGAGGAAGACCTGCCTGCAAGACCAAACCCAGGGCTTAACAACACAAAGAAGACACTACAGTCGAACAGGAAGGATGTAAAGTTTCTGTAAAACAAACGCTTCTTTAATTATTCGCTGCTGATCACATTCACTCATCTTCAAGAGGTTTTCACTAAAGCTGAGGGGTTTTTTTGTTCTCGGACCGGACCGGAGCGGATCGGACCGGAGCAGGAAKGTTCTGGGCCAATTCAAACAAACAATTTAATCAGAAGTTTCCATCTGAAGCTCGAGTTAAACTTTTAGTATTTAAACCTTTCTGTTTTCAGGCTGAAACGTGAACTTTCACTGAATTTTAAGACTTAAGATTTTATGTTTATGTGGATTTTCTCTGATCCACCAGGGTCCAAATGATCCAGAACCCTGACCCCACCTGGACCTCCGGCTTTTTGCCTCCATCAACGAGCTTCCTGCAGAAATTCACTCTTCTKAACCTGTCTGGATTCTTGAAACAARCCCGGCTTTAAATCAGAGTCTAAATTTATTAATCAGGTTAAGTTTAGAGCTTCAGGAAACTCGTTCCAGAAGAGGACTTCAGTCTTGTCCGTGTGGACCGCTGCAGGTCTCAGTCCAGTCTGGTGGTCCAGCAGGTTCTTGAGTCTTGGTGGAACCCGGGGGACAGATGAGTGCCATCCAACAGATCCTTAATGTTGACTGAGACAATCGACCTGCTGCAGTCAATCATGGTCACTAACAGGAAGCTATTATGCCTAGTCAAAATAAAAGATCTTCATTTAGATCAGAGAAAATTCACAATAAACTCAAACTTGGTTTTAAAACATTGTAAAATCTTCCCACCGTCTAAAACCAGCTGGARTTTACCTGAAAACCCCTGAACCAATCAGCTTCCTGTCTGCATGAACGACCCGCCCACCAGAACAAACACCTTCCTGGACCAGAGGGTTCATTCAGGRATCAGACCATGATCTTCTTCTTCTTCAGTCTCTGCTCTGTTCTCCTGTAAACACTACGCCACACGTGGGAAAACACTAAACGCAGCAGATCTGAAGAGGACAGAGAAGCAGACTGAAACAGGAAGTCAAAGTGCCAAAACGCCACGTTTCTCTCCGTCCTGACTCTGGGTTCAACATGACGCCTTAAAGAACCCGGCTCTGAAACTCTGCTCTGCTCTGATGCTTCACTCAAACTGTATTTATTCATCATTTCCTCCAAGGAACAAATCAGTTCTTCTCCCTAAAAGGAGCTCAAAACACACCTGAGCAAATATCAAAGAACTTCACCCTACATGAATTTAAAATGTGTTATTTAAAATATGAGAAACTTCAGAAAACTATAGAAGATATTTCTGTCATCRGTGCATGATTCCAGAGCTGTCCTCGCGTCAGAAAATAAGTTGATGTTAAAACGTGAGATTTGAAGAGAAACAGCAGCTGCAGTGGGTTTATTGGCCCCTGGGGGCAGCAGAGACACATAAAAACACAACTGTGCAGAAATAATGACAGTTTACAGAAGCAGGTAAATTATTATGTTTACATGCAAGAAGTTAGTTTTTTTCTCTCTAAGCTCATAGTGGAGCTGTTGTTACCTTTTAGCTGCTAACTTTTATAAAAGCTGCTTTCTGCAAAAATGAACCTAAAACAAGTTGAAGATTTCCACAGAATTATTTCATATAAAGAAGAATTTGATTCAGATATTGGTGCTAATTTTTATAAAACTGAGTTTTTAAACCTTTCAGCTTCATAACTTTACTGTGACTCAAATAAAAATGATTACTTTAATATTAAAGAAGAAACATTTAAAGTTTTCAGAGTTTTGTTTCTGCTGCCCTCTAGTGGTCAAACCAAACGTCCCTGCAAGTGTTCGGTGTTTCTGATGCATGTCTCCTGACCACCATGTGCCTGTCTGAACCTGAAACCTGTTGATCTTTGTGGAAGTGGGACTTGTTCTGCTTTTATTTTATTTCCTCCTCTACCTCTCTGTGTCTCTACTTCTTCTCAGAAACAGTTTTTTTTCTCTGAGCTGCAGAAGCTCAGATCTCTTCTGTTTCTCTGTGAAAAAGCACATTTTGCACAAAGTTTTTTTTTTGTTTTTTTGCGGCCTCGTCCTGAAGATGATCTACAGAATCACTGCATGTGTTGCTCTAAAGTTACTGAAAAAATAAAACTTATTAACATGAATAAAACAATCTGCTCATTTCTAAATTCAGGATGAATTTTWAAACTTTTTTTCYAGGTTTGAATCTGTTTTTATTCAGRTTGAGCCTCAGAGTTTCATGGKTTTTTTTTTTTGCAGATGGTGTGATTCTGTTTCAAACCATGACCTCCAGCAGGTCCCAGGGAGCCTCGCAGCTGAGATTAAGTCTGGACTCTGTCCTCTCTCTAACTACATCCATAAATCTCCTCTGGATCAGGATCCAGGTACTGAAGGGACCCGGGACAGACCCAGAACTCTGGAGGGGTCTTCTAGCCCCCCTGGTCTGAGCAGATCCTCCAGGAGGAGCTGGAGTCAGAGGTCTGGGTTTCCCTCTGCGACCCGACCACAGATCTGAGGAGGAAACTGGTTTTGTTGCACATTTTACCGCACGGTAAGATTTAATCTCAACTCTCCTGAGGATCAAATCAATCTTTAGGTTTGTCCTTCAAAATAAATGTGAAAGAACTTATTTTTATTTCACTTCATCAAATTTTCTCTTTAAAACAAAGTCAAYTTTATGATGGAGTATTAGGGCCACWCMAGATTTTCTTTTATTATTACGAGATTAAAGWCGCAATAGCGAATAAAGTCATAATATGAGATTAAAGTCATAATATTACGAGATTAGACATATTACAATATTAAAGTCGCAATTTTAAGAGATTAAAGTCATAATATGAGAATAAAGTTGTAATATTACGAGATTAAAGACGTAATTTTAGGAGATTAAAGTCATAATATTACGAGATTAGTCATATTATGAGATTAAACTTGCAATTTTATGACAGTCATAATATGAGAATAAAGTCATAATATTACGAGATTAAAGTCATAATATTATGAGAATAAAATCATAATATTATGAGAATAAAGTCATGATATTATGAGAATAAAGTCATAATATTATGAGAATAAAGTCATAATATTATGAGACTAAACTTGTAACATTACGAGAATAAAGTCGTAATGTTACGAGATTAAAGTCATAATATTATGAGAATAAAGTTGTAATATTACAAGAATAAAGTCGTAATATTACGAGAAGAAAGTCATAATATTCCGAGAATAAAGTTGTAATATTATGAAATTAAAGTCGTAATATTACGAGAAGAAAGTCATAATATTCCGAGAATAAAGTTGTAATATTATGAAATTAAAGTCGTAATATTACGAGAAGAAAGTCATAATATTCCGAGAATAAAGTTGTAATATTATGAAATTAAAGTCGTAATATTACGAGAAGAAAGTCATAATATTCCGAGAATAAAGTTGTAATATTATGAAATTAAAG